CTATCAAGTCGGGATTTTATTTGGATATCGCTGGTCATTCCTTCCATGGGCGACAGGTGTTTTCTCGCCGAACAAGCGCAGATTCGCACAAGGGATGGAGGGGGGGGGGTAGTGGATGAGGAGAGGTGAATTTTGCGGTCAAATCTCTCAATTTGGTCTAGCTTTGATAAAGTGTGATAGCACTGATGTTCTCCAGCAGGCTGTAGTCCTAAGTTTGACCTATCATCACCCACCGTTTTTGAGAATGGTCATCAAAAACTAACACGGTGGCAGGGCGGAAGTGAAGCGAACGGAATTGGTTGTTTATGATAGACCTACGTGGTTTCGCTGCATTTTAGCATAGGAGAAGAAATTCCAAGAATAGCTTAGTTGATAGATAATGACTGCCACATTTTTCGAATTTAAGTAAAAAGTTCAGAGTTAGCTAGAATTCTCTCCTAGGTAGTAATTATTTCAGCTGGTCATGGATACAGCATTTTTCACGCGAAAGCCTTGGCGAGCTATGGGTGTTCATAGGTGAGGTCGCATTTGGTTTTGGGTTAAGGCGATGATGACAATGCAGGGTCGTATTTGGGATTTTAGAAGGGGTTGTGGTGATAGAATTCGGGGATCGTACTGCAGAGAGGAGGATAGGGACATTTGATGGGTTTCTCGACGATTTTGGGAAAAACGTCAAGAAAAAGCGTGAGCGTGAAGTGGAGGAGAATACACTGCGACGCATAGTTATAGTTCCACCTACAATTTCAGACTTTGACAATTCCTGCGTCTCTTTTGCTAGGATTTCCCTTTTACGGAAGTGTGACAGCGGTTTTGCCTTTGCTATAAGCTAAGGAACTTGAATGGATAATAATTCCAAATTTTGATTGGGTAAAAGCAAAATGCAGCGGAGAAGCTAAAGCGGATATTTTCGAAAAAATAAGGATAAAAAATTGTTGCTTTCTCAAACTGGATTTCCGTGTTAATATTCAGATTCGCGTTTATATGTGTCACAATTTATCTGTAGAGCCTTTTCCAAAAACATCCCCAGATTCAAGTTTTTGGGAAATTTGTAGGTGGAACTATAATTATGCGTCGCAGTGTATGAGCACTTGCTTCGTTTCATTCATATACATCCCCCAACCCAACGTACGTTTGTGAAAGAGCGTGCGCAAAGGTAAAGGGTGTCGACCAGTCAACTGGTCTTAGAATCAATTCTACGAACAAAGCCGATGGCGAGGGCTTGTTGGTTGTTGGGCGGGTTAGAAAAGCCGTACCAAGAAAGACCCCCCTTTTTCCAAGACTGATGGTGCTGGGAGAGGTCGTGTCGAGACACCCTCGAGAGCAGAAGTCGTGAAAATCCTTGGATTCGGCTGTATGGACGGCTGATCCTTGTTGAGGGACATCTC